GAACACAGTAAGTAAAGCAAGCAGACAGCCCTCAGAATGGGAGAAGATATTTGCAGGATATGTCTCTGACAAAAGTTTAATAACCAGAATCCCTAGAAAACTCAAACGTATCAGCAAGAAAAGACCAAGTGATCCCATCTCAGGCTGGGCAAGGGACTTGAAAAGAAATTTCTCTAAAGAAGATAGGTGCATGGCCTACAGATATATGAAAAAATGCTCACCATCCTTAATCATCAGAGAAATGCAAATCAAAACTACTTTGAGACATCACCTAACTCCAGTAAAATTAACCCATATCACAAAATCCCAAAACCAGAGATGCTGGGGTGGATGTGGAGAAAAGGGAACACTTCTACACTGCTGGTGGGAATGCAAACTAAATTGTTCCTTTTGGAAAGACATCTGGAGAACACTTAGAGAACTAAAAATAGACCTGCCATTTGATCCTGCAATTCCTTTATTAGGTATATTTCCAGAAGAGCAAAAATCACATTACAACGAAGATATTTGTATCAGAATGTTTATTGCAGCCCAGTTTATAATTGCTAGGTCATGGAAGAAGCCCAAGTGCCCATCGATCCATGAATGGATCAATAAATTGTGGTATATGTACACCATGGAATACTATGCAGCCCTAAAGAAAGATGGAGACTTTACCTCTTTCATGTTTACATGGATGGAGCTGGACTCTGTGGTTTTCTTGAATGACCTTAATAGCTCCTTTACAGGAGATTTTTTTTTTTTTTACTGTTTTCCTCATTTCTTCATTGAGCCCATGTCTTGGTGCTGAGCAGGGCAGCCTTGAAATGCTCCCAACAGGAACACATCTATATTCCACTTACTGCCAGTGTAGACAGATACCTCTGTGCCCCAGTGTGTGTTATTCTCCTACTCCAGGTGCTGGGTGCTCTAGGCGTCTGGATATCCTGTTCTTTCTTGATACAGAGGATCAACAAGAAGAACACAGTATTATACCAGTGTGAGTTTGACTCTCACAACCTTGTGACCCTGGAAATATTGGAGCCTCAATTTTCTCACCAGCATAAAGACAATAATATTCCATAGAACTAGGCTAAGAGCAAACAAGCCAGCATAGGGTAATTTAGTGGTTGAAGCTGCCTTCTTTTCTCTAGCTAAAGCCAAGCCCAGAAGTGTGATATGCATTTTTCTGGATTTCTGCCTGAATTCTGGGCTGGCAGGGCATGGTGTGGCAGAAACAGTTGTCAGAAATGGGCCTTGGTGGCCTCAGATGGGAATGTGAAGTGCCTGGAGGATGGACTCCCACATGGTCTACTGACTATCCCTGGCCACCCTTCCTTCAGTAGCTCTCCTTCAGGGTCATAAGGTGCTGCTGGTAATGGAATCTGCACCCTCCATTCTGCAGAAAATAGAAAGCCTGACTGTAAGTTGAGGGCAGGCTCAGGGAGGCAGGACAAGGCGGTGGCCACAGCCTGCTATGGGAGCAGGCTAAGTAAGGTTGGGAGAAGGAGCCATAGATCCCATGGTACTAGTGTTTCTGGGGAGAACCTAACTGGAGACTGATACACACACTTACTACGAACTTGCTGGTGATTCTCTCCTGGGTTCAAAAACACCTGCTGAGCGTTTTTGTGGGAAACAGCAGACCAACCTCTATTCTCACAGAGGCATATGCTCTAGCAGGCAAGGCAAGCATCCAACACAAATACGTGATTATGAATTCTGAGGAGGTGCAAAGGGCTCTTTTGTTAACGAACCTGCAAGAAGGTTCTCTTGCTCGCAGCACAGAAGCCTATTACTGAAGCGAGGATTGTCAAGGGAGAAAGGATTTATTGCAGAGGATGCATCAACTGGGAGGTGGGAGGAATGGACTGCCTCAAATCTACCTCCTCAACCAACAGGGTCAGGGGTTTTCTGGAAGTGAAATGAATGAATAATGCATGAGGGGAGTGAAGATCATTACATGATTGGAGTGGAGTGCGGGGCTCAGAGTGCAGTGAGAAATCATGCTATTACATACATCCCATGGTCAAAAATTGGTGGATAAGCTCCTCCCAGGGAGGAGAGTTTAGTATTATAATGAGCTAGGGGTTAATATTGGTCATTCTTACAGCCTTGCCACAGGCTCAGTGCATCCTTGGACACAATATGTGGTGGATTATCACTTATCTTGTCTTCTCTAGACAAATGAGGGGTGTAAGATTTTGTCGTTATCTTGTGGCTACAAGGAGGCTCAGCCATTTCCGGGGAAGAAACTCAAAATCAAATGCAATAGTGCAACAGAAAATCACAGAGTTCTGGTCAGCAAATCGTACTGGCCTGGCACTTGAAACAGTAAAATAATTTTTAAAAAACTATAAAAAATGTTGTCTTGCTTATGGAGCAGGTTACACTTTCAGTTTATCTGTAACAATGAGGAGAAGGGATGGACATCACCGTACAGGGAAGAAAGGCTTCTGGGGAGCTCAGTCCCCTGCAGAAAGGCCAGTGGAGCTGAGACCAGACGGGAGTGAAAGGACTGTAGTCAAGGCTGGCAAAGCATTGCGGCCAGATGAGTTGAAGAAAGAGAAAAATCTTGTAGTTCCTTTTATGAGTGATGAGAAACCACTAAAAGGGAGTGACATGAAGGGATTCCTCTTCCAAAAGCATCCTTCAAGGGAAACAGGGTAAGAGAAAGTGAGGCCAATTGATAGGCTGTCTGAACCAGAGAGGGTAGTGGAGGGAGATAGTGGAGTTGCTAGGCATGGATGTTCGTGTACCCCCAAGTTCATATGTTAAATCCTAACACCCAATGTGATGGTGTTAAGAAGTGGGGCTTTGGGAAGTGGTCAGGTCATGAGGGCTCTGCCTTCACGGTGGACATTAGTGCCCTCACAGAAGAGGCCCCAGAGAGCTGCCTCACCCCTTCCACCTGGGGCAGAAGCATCTAGAAGCCTTCCTGAACCAGGAGGCAGGCATTCACCACACCCCAAATCTTCTGGCTCCTGGATCTTGAACTTCCCAGCCTCCAGATCTGTCATACATAAATGTCTGTTGTTTATAAGCCACACAGTCTCTGTATAATTCTCTTATAACCCCTCAGACTGAGGAAGATATTTCAACGAAAGGATATGGGACAATGAGACAAGTTGCCAAAAATGACACCAAGGTTTCCTGGCTCAGCTAACTGATGGATGGGGTGTCACACACTGAGAGGGTGACATGGGAAGAAGAGTTGGTGGGAGGTGAGTATGCTGCGCGTGCTGAGTAGACAGCAGGACCTAGGTGTGCGGAAGACCTGCCCATCACCATACAGAGATCACGTTGGGGCCAGGATTGACCCAGGTCCTTCTGGCCCCAAAGCCTGTCTCTCAATCTCCATGTTGGATGGTCCCTGCCAGCAGGAACAGCAAGTCCGGTGAAGGGGGTAGAATCTAGTGAGTAGGGGTGGGGAGCAAGGTTGCCAAGGTGGTGTCTAGTTACTATTGCGGCATAGCAAAACACTCCAAAACTCAAGGGCAAAACCCAACCATTTTATTATGATCAATGATATTGTGGAATAGGAATTCAGACAGGGAACAAGAATGGCTTATCTCTGGTGTATGTTACCTGGGGCCTCCATTGGGAAACTCAGCTGGGGACAATTCAACTGCTGAGGGATGGAATCATCTGGAAGTTTCTTCTTCTATATGACTGATGATCGATGCTAGCGACTGGCTGGCATCTTAGCTGGAACCCTTACAGGCATCCTTGCCATGGAGTCTGCATATGTGTGCTAGTTTGGGGCTTCCTCATAGCATGGCCACCAGATTCCAAAAATGAGCATCCCCCCCCCCCAAAAAAAAAGTGCAAAGCAGAGAATTGCTCTGATCTGACCTCGGAAGTCACATCACATCACTTCTGTTGTAGTCACAAGCCTGCCTGGGTTCAGAGGGATGTCTCACATACTCACTTCTCCTTGGGAGGAGTGTCAAAGGGCATGAGGGAAGAGGGTTCTTGTTGCAGTCAGCTCTGGAAAATACGGTCTGTCACCATCGAAAAGAGGGGTTGGGGTTAGAATGGTAAATGTTAACGGGAACATTCTGGCCAGTTCTTCAGCCTAGAAAAAAGTTTAAACAAGGTAGAATAAGGTGTCCAGGGAAGAGGGACACTTGCTATGCCACAGAGCAATTGAACCTTGTCCCTAACTGTCCCTTTTTTCTGCACCTTCTCAACATACATACAGTCAGCTGCTAGGAAGGAGTCGGGGGTGGAGAGCAGTGAGGAAACTCGGTCACAGAAGGCAGTATCTGGCACGGGGTCCATAGAAGTAGAGATCTCATGGCTGAGCGGCTCTGGATGGATCTTGTGTGCTGCTGCTGCTGCTCAGAAGGAAATTGGGGGGTGGATGTTTCCCCATCCCCTCAACTCCCTTCTCCCCAGAGATGGCCCCAGACTGGGGCAGAAGATGTAGCCTTCCCTCACCTCCTCCCAGCTGTCTCTGCAGGTGTCTCCGCAGACCTTGTCCCAAACAGGCCTCATCCTTCCTCTAAAATAGAAAAAATCCTCTTTCCCCCAAGATCTGGCTCCTTGCTCACCCTAAGTCACTTCCCTCACAGGTGCCCTCTGCAAAGCCAGGGGCCTTTCACCACCAACACCAAGGATGTGGGGAGAACAGGGTCCCACCCCGGTGATGGCCCATGCCCAGGAACCCTCCTCCTCACTCACCTGAGCCCAGGTTTGGGACAATTGCAGAAGGCTAAACACATCCTCCTCCATGTCAGACCATGTCCCCAAGCTGCTGGATGAGGAGGGGCCACCAGCAGTGCTGATGTGGAGTGAGGGCCCATAGGGCAGAGCGGAGGCACTAAGGCAGTCTGCCGAGGCCTCCGTGAATATCTCGAGACCCTTATATCAGTAATTTCTCAGCTTGCATCTGATTCTTATTTCACAATCTAGAAACAGGAACTGTTGTAATCCCACAGCCCTTTCCTCCCATCATACTCATTTCCTCTTACATTATGGGACACAAAGTGTTGTTTCTGTCAGCAGAGTCTGGGGCAGACATCAGCCAGAGCAGGCTCCAGAGCCCACCACGATGCCCAGCCCTGCCTCTCAGCCCCACTCACCTCTGCCATCCCTGCTGCTGCCCCTGCTGCTGGGACTCCCAGGTGAGCGCCTCCGCCCTCCGGTACCACAGTGCAATGATGCTCTCCTGAGTTTGGCAGCGGTACCATTTCCCCCATTGCCAGTGGGACAGATGGATCTCCCTTCAAGGCCTCTTCCTTGCTGTCTCTTTCTCTTTAACACATTTCCCTAAATGGTTTTATTTTTTATTAACAAGAATTTCCCAAGCAAACCCCCAGAATTCTTATTGCTTAGAGGGATCCTTTCCTCCCCGCCCCAGGTGTTTCCCCAGGACAAGAGTTCTCAACTCCTCTCCCCTCCCATCCTGTCAAGGCTCCATGACCCCCTGGGGCCTAGCCTGGGGACCCGATATCTCCCTGAGGGTAGGAGTGGAGTTGAGATGCAGTACCTGACTCCTCGGCTCTGCTTAAGATCATAGTACCTGGCAAGGAGGCAGGGCTGCCTTCACTATAATGGGGACAGAGAGATGGACAGATGATTGATAAATGGATAGATAGGCAGGCATATGGGTAGACAAATGATAGATAGATAATAGGTAGGTAGGGAGGGAGGGAGATAGATAGATAGATAGATAACAGTACACACAATGTAGAACCATTAGGAAAAAAAATAGGTAAACAGTGCTTTTTAGGTTATTGAGTCTCCCACAATCCCAGCATTTTAGGATTATGTTCCTAATATGAATGTTTCTCCTGCCCGCCCACTCCATTCTCTGACTTGGGCAGTCAGGAGAGGCACCCCTTCTCCTTCTAATGATAGTAACATCTCAAGTGAGAGGCTATCTAGCAAACTGGTGAAAAGCACAAGTATTTTTTTTAAAACCAACCTGCCAAGGTTCAAATCCAAGTTTTATCATTTGCAGACTGTCTGACAAGTCACTAAACTTCTCTATGCCTCAGTTTTCCTGTCTGTGAAATGGGGATAATAACACCTTTCAAATAAGGTTGTGAAAATCAAGAAAGTTATGATATAGTTAATATAGTTAAGTGTTTAAAAGCATACAGTTGTGATTTTAAAAAACTAAATTTAAAAAAAGCAGTGTTTTTCAAACTTTTTTATCTCACAGCACATTTGAACCTAGAGTGAAACTTCCATGGCATACTTCAATTATGTTAATCCAAAAAAAAAGGACAAAAAAGAATATATTTACTGTGCTTTGAACTTCTTTAGAAAATAACTTAATTAATGGTCTTTAAAATTTTTTGTTACACCCCTAAGATCTTCTCATGGCACACTGATTGAAAAGCACTGGTTTAGAGTGATGCGTGGCACACGGAAGCATCTATGCAAGCTCTGACTGTTAACGTCCTTTCAGGGTTTAGCAAGTATAAATGTGAATACGGAAGAATGGTCCTGCTGACTCTGGCCATTACAGACTCTCATTGTGGCCCTGGCAAGTCTATGTCTTCATTTAAAACCCATAGCAGTCACAGGAAATGGTAATGATTATCGTGTTTGACAGAAGAGGAAACTGAAAGCCGAGGAAGGGAGTGATCCTCCCAGAATTAGGAGGCTGATCAGGGGTGGAGCTCACCCTACTGGACTCCAGGTCAAGGGACAGCTCATTTCACAGAAGTCCTTCTATGAACCAGGCAGAGTCCTGAGTGCTCCTCAAAGGTTTTAAAGGTTCCATCTCACAACAAACCTGCACAAGAAGTCTCACTTTCCATACCATATATACTGCATACATAAGGAAGCAAAGGCTCAGAGAAGTTAAGTAATTTCTCAAGGTCAACCATTGATGTCTTAGCCCATTTTCTGATGCTTATAACAAAAGACCTGAAGGCAGGTAATTTACGAAAAAAGAAATTGATGGCTCAGCACCTATAGCTCAACCGGCTAAGGCGCCAGCCACGTACACCTAAGGTGGCGGGTTCATATCCCCAGCCCGGACCCGCCAAACAACAATGACGGCTGCAACCAAAAAATAGCCGGGCGTTGTGGCGGGCGCCTGTGGTCCCAGCTACTTGGGAGGCGGAGGCAAGAGACTCGCTTGAGCCCAGGAGTTGGAGGTTGCTGTGAGCTGTAATGCCACGGCACTCTACCCAGGGGGACAGCTTGAGGCTCTGTCTCAAAAAAAAAAAAAAAAGAAAAAAGAAATTGATTTCTCACAGTTACATTGTATCTTAAGATGTCCAAGGTTGACAGATGCATCTGGTGAGAGTCTTTTTTGCTGGCAGGGACTCTGCAGAGTTTCAAGGTGGCATGAGGCATCACATGGCAAGAGGGCAGAGCATGCCAAAGTCCTAGCTCAGGCCTCTCCACCTCTTCTCATAACCCCACCCAATTCTCCTCCTGTGACAACCCATTCATCCTTTAATCCATTTGTCATGAGTGGGTTAATCCATTTATGAGGACTCAGTCACCTCTTAAAGACTCTAATTCTCAATGTTGCCCCATTGGGTATTAAAATTTCAACATGAGTTTTGGAGGAGACAAGTATTCAAGCCCTAGGTATCAAGTGAGCAATAGAGGAGGCACTGAAACCCAGGTCAAAGGGGTTCCACTAGCTCTGACTTTCACCTCCTTACTGTGTTGCTTCCAGGTATATTGAACTTTCAACAAAAATAAGATTACACTAAATATGGTGATTTATTTACTCTTTCATTCAAAAATAAATTGGGGGCCCCTTTTCACACATCTCTATATGTGCCTACATCATCATCAATACAACCTCAGTAGATTCTTCAGCATTATCTTTTAATAGCTACATATTTTCTGTTTCGTGATAATGCCATCATTTATCTAACTAAATCCTTATTCTTGGACCTGGGTCTTAAATCAAACTTTTCTATATTGTGAATACTGTGATTACCATTCCTTTACAAAATATGTTTGTCCTTGTTGGCTGTTTCTTTTGAACAAGTCCCTAGAAGAGGAATTACTTAGTTAAAGGACACACAGTGCATTGCAAAGACTTTTGAAATGACATTGCATAAAATATGATTGTCTCCATGTTAGTAATACATTATCTCAGCACATACAATATAATAGCAATGGATGAAGGGGGTGGGTATTTGGAACATTTGTGACCAAAGCATATTTGTTTAAAGTATTTCCCTTTCACCAGTTAAACACATGAGTTTACCCAGTGTACATATAGGGTCATGACCCTAATGGCACATTAGCAGCTAGTGTCAGTTTATATTCCCATCAGCAGTATGTGGGGGGCCTGCTTTGCCACACCCTTGGTAGCACTGAATAGAGACAATCTTTTTCATTTTTGCTGAGTTAATTTTCTAAAAATTGTCTGTTCTTACATGGAAAATGTTTTCTTTTATTTCATTTTATTTTTATTGTATTACAGACTTGTCGAAATAATCCAAACAGGGAAGGAACAGACACATAAACAGCAAAAGTCCCCATACTCCCTGGAAATCGGCACTTTTTAAGAGTTTCAGTTGCTTCCTTCTAGATAGTTTGCTGCCTCGGACATAAATGCCACCGTGATCAGATAATAAATACCCACATGACCTTGGGTCTAATTCTAGGCTCTTCCTTCTGTCTTGTTGACCTCTCTGCCTGCCTTAGGACCCACTTACCTCTATTATTGTAACCTGAAAATGAGCTAAAACTTATATACATTTCAAGCTATTCTGTCATAGAGTTTAGTGTTTTCCTTATGGCTTCATTTGCATTTCAATGGTTTATTAGAGTTTTTGAACATCTCTTTTAGAAGTATTTTTTCCCTCATGACTTCTCTATCTGTGGCCTTTTCAAGGGGTCCCTTATATCTATGTCCCTCTTGGCATCCAGTCTAGCAATCTACCCATCCTAGAAGCTGATACATGGTGTGAAAAGAAAGAATTAACTGAACTTCAGCTGCAATCTGGACCCCAACCTCAGCCACAGCTGGGGGAGTTCGAGCTCACTTGTGTTTCCCCCCAGGAGTGGCAAGAATGGAGGAGCTGCAGGTGATTCAGCCTGACAGGTCAGTGTCGGTCGCTGCTGGAGAGTCGGCCACTCTGCGCTGTACCGTGACCACCCCAGTCCCCGTAGGGCCCATCAATTGGTTCAAGGGGACTGGGCGAGACCGAGAATTGATCTACAGTCAAAAAGTTCACTCCCCCCGGGTGACAAATACCACAGATCACACAAAGAGAGACAACCTGGACTATTCCATCCGCATCAGTAACCTCACCCCAGCTGATGCCGGCACCTACTACTGTGCGAAGTTCCGGAGAGCAACTCCTGAAAACGTGGAGTTTAAGTCTGGACCAGGAACCGTGTTAATTGTGCGTGGTAAGTCCAGATTCCTAGAAATCCAGCCCATCATTCTAAACCAAATCACCACCCTCAGGAGCTCAGTCCAAGCGCCACCTTTTGTTAGCCCTTGTGCCAAGTTTGAGAAAAGTAGATGGGGATAGTAAGAGGTCACAGTGAAGGAGCAGAGGAGGATATAGCCCCAGGGCAGTCATCTGTCAGCAGACTCTTAGCCCTTTAGAACAGTGGTTCTCAACCTTCCTAATGCCGTGACCCTTTACTACAGTTCCTCATGTTGTGGATCCCCAAACAGAAAATTCTTTTCATACACCTATATTTGTACAGGGTGTATGTGATGGTTTTAGGCAACCCTTATGAAAGGGTCGTTCGACCCCCAAAGGGGTCATGACCCACAGGTTGAGAACTGCTGCTTTAGAATCTTACAGCTTCCAATGGCCACAAAGCACAGTGGGTAAAGATGCACTTCAGAGTCAGATGGGTCAACTTCTAGCTCTGCCATTTACCTGCTCTATGACCTTAATAAATATCTAAATTCTCTGTGCCTCAACTTCCTCAAGTGTTAGGTAAGACAGGGATAATAATAAGATCCACTTAACAGATTTGTTGTGAGGATTATAAATGAAAATGGGTTTATAAATACAAAACACTTAGAAGAGTGTCTACTGCATAATTATATTATTTATTTATGTTATTATATTTATATCATTATATTTATATTAATTTATATTATTATATTACTAGACATCATCAGGACTTAGGATCTCACAACCGATTAAACTTAAAAACATAACCTTAAAAGCATGGAGACACAGATTTTCATATGATGTGAACAATAGATTTATTAAGACAGAAAGTTTTAAGAATCACATTTTTGATGAAGAATATGTAACTCCTATATTACTTAAATTTTATCCTTGATTTCTGTAAGTCCTGTATATTCTTAAATTTGGTCCTGGCTGATAAAATCATAGCTCAAGTCAAAGCCTACAAGACTCTAAACAGAGGCTCGGCGCCTATAGCTCAACCAGCTAAGGCGCCAGCCACGTACACCTAAGGTGGCGGGTTCGAATCCCCAGCCCGGACCCGCCAAACAACAATGACGGCTGCAACCAAAAAATAGCCGGGTGTTGTGGCGGGCGCCTGTGGTCCCAGCTACTTGGGAGGTGGAGGCAGGAGACTCGCTTGAGCCCAGGAGTTGGAGGTTGCTGTGAGCTGTAATGCTACGGCACTCTACCCAGGGGGATAGCTTGAGGCTCTGTCTCAAAAAAAAAAAAAAAAAAAGACTCTAAACAGAACAGGAAAACCTGGGAAGCAGAGCAATTAGTTTAGGGCTACTTATATTGATGACTTAATGATCGTGATATTTGTCTTTAAAAAATGAGGTTGGATAATTTACTCCAATAAAAGACCAGAACCATAGAAATACACATCAACAGAATTTTTAGGACTTTAAAATGTTAGCACCTTTGAGCCATGAAGAAACAAAGAAAATAATAGCAGTCTTTGGGGACAAAGACATCATCTAGTTTCCAAGAATTAAAAATAAAAAGCAAGTTTTGCATGAAGCATTGTGAATGAGATCAGCACGAGATGTCTAAGACCAACACTGATCCCTAGAAGATGAGAAATATCACCTTCAAAAGTCTTAGGGAAATTCATTTCCAACCTGAAATTCTATACCCAGCCAATCTACAGTGTTTGCAAGATCACCAAGAGCTGCTTTACCAAAATAGGGTTTAAATGAAAAAAACGTAAGAAGGGGAACTAGGAACAGGAGATGGAGACCTTAAGATAAGAGCTGTGTGGGAGGCACAAGAATGGTCACTAGACCATTCCAGAAAGAACTAAGGGCTTTACTAGGGACATCCCCCCAAAAGACAGAATTAGTAAAATATTCAAATAGTCTCCAAATTCATGCCCACCATTTCTAACATTATTTACATTGTGCTGAAATATTAGCCAATGCTTTTAGAAGTAAAAAGCAACAAAAATTCTATGAATTATAAAAGAAGTGGGAAAACTATTTCTTTTTGCATATGATATGGCATCTGGAAAATTGCAAACATCAAAATAATTTAGTAACATAGCAAGTTATAAAATAAGCAGAAATCAATAAATTTCACATATACAAACTAAAACCAGTTAGAAGATATAATGGAAAAGATGAGCACACATACAACAGCAAAATTAAATTAAATTAAATGTCTAGAGCAACTTCCACCAAAACAGTGACAGAGGCTGGATTTACTCTCCCACTAAAAATCTGGGCAAACTATTTGGAACAATGATAAACAAGACTTTGGACATCAGTCAACAAAGGACAGTAATCCCAATTAATGAAGTGAGCTCTGAAACTATTCTCAGAGTGCTCTCTGAGAAAGCTTTAAGGCCACCAGGCAGGAATAGAAAACTCAGATAGAGCCTAAAGGCCTCCCTGAGTTGGTAAGAAGTCCACAGAGGCCAAAAGAAGTATATTTATTGAAATACAAAACACCTAATACCCAATAAAGTAAAAGTCATAATATCTGGCATACAATAAAAAGTTATCGAGCACCAAAATGGCAATAAAATGTCATTTGTATTAAAAAAAAATCAATCAGGGTGGCGCCTATGGCTCAAAGGAGTAGGGCACCGGCCCCATACGCCAGAGGTGGTGGGTTCAAACCCAGCCCTAGCCAAAAACTGCAAAAAAAAAAAATTTTTTTTAATTCATCACTTGAGACTTAATCAAAAAAGACAGATGACAGAATTTGTATACAAAAACATTATTTATTATAAGAATATTCTGCCTGGGAAGAATCAACATTGTTAAAATGTCTATACTTCCCAAAGCAATCTACAGATTCAATGCAATCCCTATTAAAATACCAACACCATACTTTGAAGATTTGGAAAAAATAATTCTTCATTTTGTAAGGAACTAGAAAAAAAAAACCATATAGCAAGGCAATGGATTAACAAGCCACTTTAACAATACTATTCAGCCATTAAAAGAGATGGAGACTTTATATTTTTTGTATTAACCTGGATGAAGGTGGAACATATTCTTCTTAGTAAAGCATCACAAGAATGGAGAAGCAAGAATCCAATGTACTCAATTCTAATATGAAGGCAGTAGATGAGCTAATACATGGTGGGGGGTAGGGGAATGATGGAGCAGGGAGAGGGGTGGAGAGAGAGGGAGGTGGGGGTCATGGTGTGAAACACACCTCTTGGGGGGTGGGACTCAATTATAAGAGGGACTTTATCTAACAAATGCAATCCATGTAACCTAATTCTTTGTATCCTCAGGAAACCCCAAACAATAAAAAAATAATAATACTCTATGTACAAGAAACTAGAGGAAAAGATTAAATATGTGAAGTAGATGCAATAAAATAATTTTTTTAAATCCACATTGAATTTTAAGACATGAAAACTGCAAGGTCTAAGATAAAAAAAATAAACCAAGTAGGATTAACAGCACATAAAACATTGAAGAAAGAGATTAATGAATTTAAAGACACAGGAACAGAAACTATCCACAATGACACATGAAGAGATAAAGGAATGAAAAACTGACAAGTAAAGCATCAGTCAGCTATGAGAAAATTTCGAGTGGCCTGATCAATATATATTGGAGACACCAGTGGGAGAGGGGACAGAAAGAATATCTGAAGAAATAGTGGTCAAATATATTCCAAATATGATGAAAACTATAAACCTATAGATTCAAAAAGCTCAATGAACTCCAAGCATAAGAAACCAAAAGACTACACCAAGGTGCATAATAATCAAATTACACAAACCAGTAAAAAAGAAAATACAATAGAACCTCCATAGTTGACCACCTTCTGAAGTTGACCTAAATTTCATAAACTGGACATGGACCACATGTACATGTCAGTACAGTAAGCCGAGCTCCTTATGTTGACCGCCTCCATATGTTGACCAGTTTGTTACAGTCCCTTGGGTGGTCAACTTACAGAGGTTCTACTGTATTTTTTTTTTTTTGAGACAGAGTCTCACTTTGTCACCCTCAGTAGAGTGTCATGGCATCATAGCTCACAGCAACCTCAATCTCTTGGGCTCAGGTGATTCTCTTGCCTCAGCCTCCCTCGTAGCTGGGACAACAGGCACCCACCACAAAGCCGGGCTATTTTTTTTTTTCCTTTAGCAGGCCCCAGGCCAGGATCAAGCCCACCAGCCCCAGAGCATGTGACCAGTGCCCTAACCACTGAGCTACAGGCACCCAGCCAGTTCTACTGTATTTTAAATGTAGCCAGAGGGGAGGGAATTGTTAAGTACAAAGGAACAAAAATAAATAGACAGGCAGTGCCTGTAGCTCAAAGGAGTAGGTGCCAGCCCCATATGCCGGAGGTGTTGGCTTCAAACCCAGCCCCTGCCAAAAATTGCAAAAATAAATAAATAAATAGACATATTGTTCACTGATAAAAATGTAAGCTAGAAGACAGTGGGGAAACGTCTTTAAATCATTAAAAGAGAAAAGAAAACAATAAAAGTCAATATAGAATTTATACACATCTTTCAAAAGTTAAGTTAAGGCTGGGTGTCTATAGTCCCAGCACTTTGGGAGACCAAGGTGGGAGGGTCTCTTGAGACCAGGTGTCTGAGCCCATCCTAGGCAACATAGTCACACTTTGTCTCCACCCAAAAGTTTTTTTAAAAATTAGCCAGGCATGGTGGTGCATTCCGATAGTCCCAGCTACTTGAGCAGCTAAGGGAGGAAGATTGCTTAAGCCCAGGAGTTAAGTGATGCAGTGAGCTACCACTACCCCACTGCACACCAGCCTGGTGACAGAGCAAGATACTAAATCCAAAAAAAAAAAGTGGAGTTAAATGTTCACTTCAGCAGCACAAATAGTAAAGGTGCAACTATAGAGAAGGTTTAGCATGGCCCCTGGGCAAGGATAGTATGCAAATTTGTGACACATTCCATATATTTTCTCAGTGTTGCTGAGAAAGAGTTAAAAAATATTAAAAGAGCCTTTTGCCTCATTGCACCCCTGAAAGCAAGGTGGGTCACGTGCAGCTCCGCCGGAGCCACTTGCAAAAATTCGGGTTCTCACTCTTGTTGCAGCTGCTCAAATCCACATGGTCTGATCTGGAAATACAGCCTCAATCCCTGCTGCCAATGTTTCCTTCAGACACCGGGTTCATAAAGTAAAACTAAGTAATCTTCCTTGAATGGATTATCTAAGGCACCACACAGTGAACGAACCATGCTAACTCTATATATAAAATAAGGTTTAAAAAAAAAAAAAGAAAGAAAGAAATATTAAAAGAAATCCTTCAGGCAATAGGAAAATGATACTAGATGGAAACCTGAATCTATGCAAAAAAATTAAGACAATCAGAAATAGTAACAATTTGGGGAAAATGTGAAGAAAATTGTGTTATTTAAATCTATTTAAAATAACCAACCGTTCAGAGCAAATATAACAATATATTTGGGAGCGTATAGCATGCATGGAAGTGAAACGTGTGGCAAAAATAGCACAAAGACCAGGAAGAATGCGATAAAAAATCATGGGTCACTACAAAAGCTTTGAGACAGACTGTGTTAGGCTCCATTATTTCACTTCCAACAAACATAGTCAGGGGCATCCTTCCTGATTCATCCCTGCAAGTTTCATCCCTGCTAAGCTTATCAGTGCTCCTGGGAGGGCTCCATTTGTTTCCCTTCATGCAGATTTTGTGTTTCTTGATTTTAGTGTACCTCACAGCTTTCTTAAAGACCCCTGTATACTATTGTAAAGTTTTTATGCTATATGTGAAGTGGTATCTTATCACTTAATGGTAAGCAATGGTGAGTTAATGATAGACACCAGAAATCTTAAAACAACCAATAAAATAACATAAGAAAGAGTAATAGCTAATAAACAAAACAAAAGAGATTAAAACAAATCATAGAAAAATCCAAAAGAAGGGGTGGCGCCTGTGGCTCAGTGGGTAGGGCGCCAGCCCCATATACCGAGGGTGGCGTGTTCAAACCTGGCCCCAGCCAAACTGCAACCAAAAAATAGCTGAGCCTTGTGGTGGGTACCTGTAGTCCCAGCTACTTGGGAAGCTGAGGCAAGAGAATGGCCTAAGCCCAGGAGTTGGAGGTTGCTGTGAGCTGTGACAGCACAGCACCCTACCAAGCATGATAAAGTGATACCCTATCTCAAAAAAAAAAAAAAAAAAAACAAAAGAAGGTGGAAAAGGAGGTACAATGGAATAATGGAGAGATAGGACAAATAGCAAGATGGCAGACTTAAAGCCAGCCAAACAAATAATCATACGAAATGTAAATGGGTCAAACACCCTAATTAAAAGAGCTGTCTTTCCTTTCATTACAAACAAAGGCACAAATAAATTAAACATAAAAAGATGGAAAAATATGTGCCACATTAACAATATTTTTAACATATGAAATGCCCGTATAAATATCAAAGTAGATTTAGAACAAAGAACTTACAAAAATAAAGAACATCATTTTATAATGACAGAGTGATCAGTTACTCAAGAAAATATACCAATCCTAAATGTTTATGCATCTAACAATAGAGCTTCAAAATACATAACACAAAATTCATAGAACTGCAAGGATTTATAGACATATCTATGACTATAGTCTGAGATGTAAATATCCTTTCAATAACTGGTAAATAAAAGAGGCAGAAAATCATTACGAATGTATAAGACTCAACAACTCTATACTCCAACTTCAGCTAATTGATATTTACAGAGCTCTCTATTCCAAAACAACCAAACACACATTCTTTTGAGATGTAAAAGGAGTATTTACCAAGATACAGTGTATTCTAGGCCATAAATAACTCTTGGCAAATTTGAAATGAGTCACATCATACTAAGTGTGTTCTCTGGCCACAATGGAATTAAATTTATAAAGCAAAAATACATCATCAAAGAAGAAATCAGAAAGAAAATTTGACAATATTTTAAACTCAGTGAAAATGAAAGCACAACATACCAAATTTGCAGTAAGCAGCCAAAACAGTACTTGGGGAAGATTTATAGCACCAAAATGCCTATATTAGGACAACATAAAGGTTTTTTTTAGTGACATTAAAAACTAGAAAAAAAAAAAGAATGAGTGAAACCCAAAGTAAACAAAAAAAAAAATAAAGACTAAGACAAATTTCAGAAATAAAAAATGGAAATTTGTAAAGCAAATCAATGAAAGCTAGTTCTTTCTGAAATTTAATAAAATCAGTTAAGCCTGCAGCCACATAATCAATCAGGAGAAAACACAAATTACCAATGAGAAAGATAACACCACTACGGAGTCCATAGATAATAAAAATATTATAGTGAAACGTTGTTAAAAACTATACTAAGAAATTCAAAACCTTAGATGAAATGGACAAATCTTTGAAAGACGCAGACTCCCAAAGCTTACTCAAGAAGAAATAAATACTTTGATTATCTCTGTATCTATTAAACAAATTAAACACGTAGTTTAAAAAGCCTCCCATGAAGAACAATTCAAGCCCAGATGATGTCATTGAAGGCTTCTACCAAATACTTGAGGAAGAAATACTAGCAATCCTATACAAATTCCTCCAGAAAATTAAAGAGGAATTAATGCTTTCCAGTCGATCTCTGAGGTCAGAATTACTCCAATATTAAAACCAGATAAAGACATTATGGGAAAAGAAAACTACGGACGAGTTATCCATTATGAACAGAGAATTATTATAAAGCTATGGTAATCATACAGTGTAGTACTGGCAGCAAGATAGATAATTATCAATGCTATGTATAGAAACTACAAAAAAGAATATAAAAGAAGAAAATGATAGACAAGTAGATCAATAGAACGGAACAAAGATCCCAGAAAAAGGCCCATAAATATGGTCAATTGATTTCTACAATTAAGACAAAGTGTAGGGCGGCACCTGCAGCTCAAAAGAGTAGGGCGCCCGCCCCATATGCCGGAGGTGGCAGGTTCAAACCCGGCCCTGGCCAAAAACTGCCAAAAAAAAAAAAAAAAAAAAAGTGTAAAGGCATTCAGTGGAGAAAGACGATTTTTCAATAATGGTGCTGGATCCATTGGAGCATTAAGAGACCAATGAAACAAAATAAAAAATTTCAGAAATGTATCTAGTTCCTCCCACCATACACCAGAATAAATTTCAAATAGATCAGATTTAAATGTAAAAAGTGAAACTACGTAAGTACTAGGAGAAAACATGTGTGTATTCTTTTATAACCTGGAAGTGGGGAAGCCCTTCCTGACCATAATTCAATATCCAAAAAAAAAAAAAGAGAAAAAATGATCATTGTATGGGTGGCACCTGTGGCTCAAAGGAGTATGGCGCCGGCCCCTTATGCCGGTGGTGGGTTCAAATGCAGCTCCAGCCAAAAAAAGATTATTGTGTTTGGATTGGACAAAAAGATATTTGCGTGTGGTAATTTGCAACTTAGAAAGAAGCATGATGGACATATACAGCTCTTCTAAATTGTAAGGAAAAAAAGACAAGCAACTTATGAACAACACACATGAAAAGGCAACGTAATAGAGAATGAAATACAAATGTCTCTTAGACATATAAAAAATATGCTCAACAGCCCTTGTATAAAAAGAAATGCAAATTAAAATTGCACTGGAACACAGTTTCTCACCTATCTGCCTGGCTCAAAGTTTGCCAGCACACTCTGTTGAGGAAGGTATGAGGAAACAGCTATGCCGTATTTTGATGATGGCTGGGTACAAAATCATATAATCCATAAGAAGATGAATTTGGCAATATCTAGCGAAATTATATATACATATCGCATGTACATTTTACATAATTACATATTGCCCTATGACCCAACAATCACACTTCTAGAAAAAAAAATTTTTGAGACAGGATCTCTCACTCTGTTGTCTTAGATAGAGTGCTGGGGCACTGAAGCTCACAGCAGCCTCAAACTCTTGGGCTCAAGCAATCCTTTTGCCCCAGCCTCCAGAGGAGCTGGGACTACAGGTGTGCACCATAACACCCAGCTAGTTTTCCTATTTTTAGTAGAGACAGGGTCTCATTCTTGCTCAAGCTGGTCTCTAACTCCTGAGCTCCAGCAATCCACCTGCCTTGACCTCCCAGAGTGCTAGGATTACACATGCGAGCCAACGTGCCCAGCCTTACTTCTAGAAATTTATCCCAAAGCTCTACTAACATAAGTGCAAGATGACTTAAGCTTAAACTCTTCATTACAACACACTTTGTAAGAGCACAAGATGAGGTCAATAGAATGTAATCTATGGATCTTGCGTGCATCCTGATTCAAAGAAACCAACTGTAACATCATACTTGTGAGACAAGGAGGAAAATCTGAATGCTGACAAATACTAAATGATATTCTGCAATAATTAGTGAATTTTAAGTATAATACTGTATTCTGATTGTTTAAAAAAAGAATTCTTAATTCTTAGATATACATGCTGAAGTAGTTACTATATATGAATAAAATCACATCATGTTTAGTATTTGCTTTAAAACGAACCAGTATGTGACTTATTTCACTTAGCATAATGTCTACTACATTCATTTATGCTGCAATAAATGGCAGGATCTACTGTTTTAAGCCTCAATCATATTCCATTGTGTGTATGTTATGTACACAAAAGCTTCCATATCTTGGCTTTTGTGAATAATGTTGCAGCGAGCGCTGGGGTGCAGATATCTTCATGACATGGTGATTTCATAAACTTTTAGTGTGTACCCAGAAAAGGAATTACTGGGGCATATGGTAGTCCTGTTTTTAATTTCCCTTACTTACATGTGGAATGAAAAAAAAAATAAACCAACTCAAATCCATAGAATCGGAGTAGAATAGTAGTTATCAGGCATGAGAGTGTATGGGAAATGGGGAGCTGAAAGTTAAAGTGTACAAAATTTCAGTCAAGTAAGGTGACTAAGTCTAGAGCATGAGAACTATGGTAAATAATACTTCATTAAATAATGGAAATTTGCTAAAAAAGTAGATTTTGGGTACTTTTAGCACCCACAAAAAGTATGTGATGTAATGGATATGTTAATTTGCTTGATTATAATAATTATTTCACTAAGCATATATATAGATACATATCAAAACACCATGTTATACACCAAAAATATATGCAATAAAAATTATGTAACCCAGTGAGTGGTGGGAACAGCATAAATGAAACAAGATCAGCCATTTGTTCATAATTGTTAAAAGTCCCATTAAAAAATACTTTCTCTCACTTGTATGTGTTTACAATTTTATTATAATAAAAAGTTTACTTAATCTAAACCTGTAGACTCCCCTGAAAAAATATTTATACCCTAAATTGAAGTCTACTGCAATACTTAGTAGTTTCAAACACAGTGGAAGAAAATCTGGCAGAAAGCTTTGGGACAAACTTGTCATAAGTTCACAGGAAACAAAGCAAATGAAAATAACAAGACCAGTAAAAACTTCAGAGAAAACAAAAAGCTGTACAAGAAAGCAAATATAATCATGATATATTACAAATTCCAATGTGAACAATGACCAATTAGTCATAATAATATAAATGCTGCATACTGACAGAACAAAACATCACAATGTGTCTATAACAGAGGATGCAAGGAGGGGAGCTGTGACTGACAGGTGGAGGGAGACATAAGAGAGCTGAACCATCATTGCCTGTAGTCGTAGGTGTATCCATAACACTGAAAAATTGAGATATAATAGTATAAACCTGCTATTTAGAAACACAAAGAGAAATGCCCAAAGAATCAGCTAAAATAGTTAAAAGTGGTTGGTCTGTAAATTTTGCAAGGAGAGGAAGCCACTGTTTTTCACCATATGCCGTATGTGACTTTTACAACAATGTACTTTGGGAACAAAGGACAAAGGAAGAAAGAAGGTAGAAGAACAAGAGAACGACATGGTCAGATCTGCATTTTAGAAAGGTCACCACGGTCTGTTTTCTAAGTGTGAGCTGAAAGGGTGAGGCCAGTCAATTAGCTGTTACAAGAAGAGTAATGATAAAATTTATGAAGAGGAGAAAACTGAAGATGATGGATTGAGGTGCGAAGCAGGGTGAACAATGAGGGTGAGTGTTGTGTCTGATAGTAACTCACCATCTTCATTTATGTTCTTTTTTCTTCCTCCCTTTACCCCTGCCCTGATCAAAGCTAAGCCCTCTCCTCCAGAGGTTTCTGGCCCCTCCAGCAGGGCCAGCCCAGGTCAACTACTGAACCTCACGTGCATATCAACTGGCTTCTCTCCCAAAGACATAGATGTGAAATGGTTTGAAAATGGTGTGGCACTTCCAACCTTTCAGACCCTCGTCTTCCCGCCTAAAGATGCTTCCTCCTACACTGTTGTCAGCACTGCCCTGGTGACTCTTGCCATCTCCTCAATGCACTCCCAGGTCACCTGCCAAGTGACTCACAGTGAATTGCAGAGACCCCTCAGAGGGCACGTGAACATCTCCCAATTTCTCCAAGGTAAGCCCCCAGCACATGCACAACACACACACACAAAGCAAACTTTGGCAAATACCACAGGCTTCTGATTGGAACACTTCACCTATATTCTCCTATTCATTCTCAAAACCCCCAGTAGGATGCAACCTATTTGATACAACCATCCTTGTCCTACATCAGGGCATGATTGGGTCCTTCTTTTTCTGAGCTCCCTTCGCTCTAGTGTCTGTGAGAGCAGGGAGCTCATTCATTCATTTGGGGGTGTTTATACAGCATATGCTATGTGCTGGTACGTTACAGGTACTAGGGAGTCCATGGTAAACAGAACAGACCTGGTTCTGCCGCACGAAGATTATGGTCAGGGAAACCCCATCAACCAAGACACAAACGACTAAATGTCTGTGACTTGTAACGTTTGCTCTGGGGGGAAAGAACACACTACTGAGATAAATGAAAATAAGAGAAATCTGGTTTACTCAAGAAGTACCTTTTTGAAGAAGTGAGGTTTGAGTCAAGGCATGAAAAGGAATCAGCCAAGAATAGAGTGTTCTAGGCAGAAGAAATAGAGTGTGAAGGCCCCGTGATTGGGGGTGTGGAGAAGAAAGCCATGTCCGAGATGCAGAGGGGAGGCCAACATGTCTGGGGCTTAGTGAGAAGATGGGTGCATGGAAAAGGAAGAAGACAGAGCAAGAGGTTACCAGATAATTCAGGGTTTCTAGGCCACGATAAGGAAGTTTCTCCCACTTGGAATCTCCCTGTGAACTCTTAATTCCATGTCCAAATCACCAAGCCACCATTGCTTTGCTGTCCTGTTCATCTTCCGTATTTCCACTCACAGGTCACTTCCTTTGGAAACTCTTCCCTAACCTGCTCTCCTCCAGACCAGGTTGGGTACCTCTGTTGTGGGTTCTCAGACTGCCCCCTTTGGGAGTCATGTGGCTACCTAATTCCTCCTTGACCTTCCCACAAGGGAAGGACTATGCCTGTCTTTTTCACTGCTGTAGCCCGAGAACCCAGCACACAGCGTAGAAAGGTGTGGATGCTCTTTGAGCATGTTTGGCATGAAGGAAAGAAGTAGCGAATGAAGGGTTATTGTTTCAGTTGTGCCCACGGTGACTGTCTCAGCACACTACATCCCAGAACTCCAGGCAGCCATCCTCACCTGCCATGTCCAGAGGTTTTACCCCAGAGACATTCAAATCACCTGGCTGAAGAGAAACAGAGACTTCAAGACCTGTGAGGTCCTTATCCCCACTGAGAATCCAGATGGCACATCCAACCAAGACAGTCATAGCCTGGTCAACACTTCAGAGTGGGAGGATAAAATGCTGTTCACCTGTCAAGTGTGGCAGAACAACCAGGGTCTGGTCCAGGCCAGCAGACAGCTGAGCAAGTTCAGAGAAGAACAAGGGAGTTCAGGTAAGTAGGAGAGGAATAACCAAGCAGTTAAAGGCTCCGACCTAGAGACAGTCCATGTTCAAACACTGGCTTGGTTGTACTCACCATAGATGAGCACTTTCCTTGGGAAAGTCACTTCACCTTTCTGAAACTCAGATTCTTCATCTGTAAAATGGGACAGCAATTATATCAACCTCTTCAGAGCATTACGCTGTCAGTACCAAATAGCAATAAACACAGTTTTCATCACACAGCCAGACCCTGGCCACCAACCCATTTTATGAGATACTCCTGGGAATAACTAAGTTGATATGAAACATCTTTCCCCAATTCCCACATATCCTCCCAAGAGACATTCAGACAAGATTGGTTTGTTCTATGAACACAGATCCAAAGCCATTCAGATTCCACAATCGCTGAGCATCTATTAGGTACTTTGCTTGGATGCTCTCATTTGATAGAAAACATTCTGAAGTATGTATTATAATCCCCATTTTAAAGATAAGAAAACCAAGGCTCATAGAGCTGAGGTGATTCCCCCAAGACCAAGGTGTAGTCTTGGTACCTGACTCGGGGCGGGGCTAAGCCTGCCTGGGGGTGGAGGGATAAAAGCAGGAATTGGTCTCATCCTAATATCTTCCTATCACCAGATATGATGGTGACCAGATCCCTCTTCCTCCTTGTCTGGAAGCTATTTCCTCTGACTGCACTTTCTATTATCTATATTTTCAAGAGGAACTCCCCTCCAGGTAAGGGGGCACCCTGGGTAGAAGTTGGGTTCCCAGAAATGGCTCCCCAGCAGCAAGAAGAAAGGGGGGCCTCCCATTTCTCCTCTACCTTAAGGGGAATGCAGAGGGTCCATGATAGCTGTACCTCAGTTCTTTCACTCTCTCCCTCTGTCTCTCACACCTCCAACGGGGATGTGCAAAGTTGTGAGTTCCCCTGGTAACTCCTGGGTAGGGGAAGGGCATCTAGGGAGGAAAGAGGAAGAGGAGTGGTGTGAAGACAACACCCCCGAGGCAGTCTCCAAGGACAGGTGTGAGAAGAGCAAGCACTCCTCAGCCCCCAGCTTCCTGTTCTGGCCACTGGCCTTGCAAGGTCAGCCCTCCTCAGTGACATGGAACCCTCAGTCCCCTCCTGTCTTAACAGAACTGGCCTAGGAGGGGGACCTGTCATGATGCCGGTAGCTGCTACCCCTGCTTCTCCTGCCTCCTCCTGCTGAGACCTGCCTGGCTCTGGCTGTCCCTCCCTGCCTTCTGCAGCCCCCCCCCCCCCGAGACCGGGAAAGCAGAGCCAAGACCGGGAAGGTCGGCAGTGAGAAGTGAGCTGTCGTGCCCTCCCAGGAGTCAAGTTTCTGGGCAGAGTCAGACCTCAAAGTCTGTGACCCTGACCAAGAAACTCAGCAGAGGTACGACAGGCCCCAACCCAGACGGAAACACTCACCTGCACTTCGGACGGCTCCCTCCTAACTCTTCAAGGAAAGCCTACTGCGAGCACCTGAGCCCTGTAGTGAAACTCCGAAAGCCCTATCATTACAATGGGGTTTAAGGAGACACTTATGTCCAATAAACACACGGGGAGATGTCCAACCTCATTAGTAATCAGGAAAAGCCACGGCAAAACTACTCTGAAATGCCATGTTGTTCCCATTCAAATAGCAAAAATAAAGGAGCAATTGTGTCTTTTGTACATTGCTGGTGGGCACATAAATGGACACAGCTATTTTGGGGAAAAAAAATTGTTGTGTTAAATACTCACACACTCTATAACCTGGCATTTCCACTCTTGGGTTACACCCAAAAGAAACTCCTGCACACGTGCACCAGGAGGTATGTACAAATATATACATGATACCATTATTCAAAATTAGCACAACCTGAAAATGATAGATGCACAGCTACAGGATAATGGACAATACATTTAGTACACTCATGGAATGGGATGTTAAACAGCAATCAAAATGAATGAACTACAGCTACACGCAGTAATATAGATAAATCTTAGCAATAAAATGTCGGCAGGGGAAGTGAACCCCCCCAAATTTCACACAGCATGATATTCTTTTAATAAAGATAAAAAAAAAAAAGCTAACATCAAACAGCATTTAGGAATATATAGAAATATGATAAACCCTATATTTTTAAAAAGGAAAAATGAATACAAGACTCAAAATAGCAGTGACCTTGGATATAGCAAGGCAGAAGGATGAGAAATTGGGGTACATATAGGTAGATAGAAGTTATTGTCAAAGTTCTAATATTCTCAATAAATGGCGGGCTCCATGAATGTTTACAATACTAAAAACAAACAACAAATAGAATAACAATATAAGGTCAATATAGGTATGTTGGTAGGTAGATGGATAGATGATTAGAAGGGGGAGAGAGAGAAAGGATGGATGGATGTTGGATGGAAAGATAGATACATGGACAGATGATGGATGGAAGACCAACAGATAGACAGATGAAGTAAGAATTATAGATACAAGTCTGTGTACTTAAGAATCAAGGAAAAAATAAAGAAAAGGTCATTACCTAGAGACCCCTAAGTTCCCTTCTTATTGTGACATTCTGTGGTTCCACATAGGAAAGGAAACAGTTACTCAGTGCCACCATGGGTCTGGTACCCCATTTCATCCTCACACCAATCCTACAAGGTGGGCATCACTCCCCATTTTGCAAGTAAGGCCTATGAGGGGTCTTGCCCAGTGTTACTCGGATAATAAGCAGTAGAACCAAGACACTGGAAAGCTCTTGTTAGTGCTTTCCAAAGAGCCGCCCACCCAGAGTTCTTGATCTGCGAGGCGATCTTGACCCACCCGCATTCTACTGCTTCCCAGCCCTTCAGGCCCACTGCTCTGCAGCAGAGCCCGCTTTGTGCTTCTGGGAGGGGACGAGAAGGAAAGAACACGTGCACCTTCTCAGGTTCAACAATTGGCCCTGGGGAGGATCTGGACTCATCATGGGCACCAAAATGGCCCTGGTGAAGATCTGGGGAGATGGTGCCATTGAGGGAAGGTTTTGCAGAAAGACTCTCTGTAAAGGGCAGGGTGGGCATCCGACTCTATTAATTTCATTGTGGACTTGAACCTTCATAGTCACAGAAAAGAGATATTGCCCCATAGGCATGAATCTCCTTCCCTTTCAACATTTTCTGCTTACAACAGAGCAGCTTCATCTTCCCCATCCCCACACCCAGGAGCCTGAGGGTAGCTCGGCCTCCTTCGATGATGAGAGTATCATGAAACAAGAAGGATGCTTCATCTTCCCCTTGGAGCAGGGTCAGGACTAGGGTGAGGCAAAGTGAAGCAAAATTTAAGACTGCCTTTCTCAGGGTTGAGCAAAAGCAGCATTGGCATGGGTAGGTCCTTGCCTCCTTGCATTCTGCATTCTACAGCCTAAGTTTCCCAGTCCTATTATTCTCACGCTTGGTCACCCAGACCCTCTTGGGGACTTACCTGGATCACTCCGACAGACTTCTCATAGGTCTCGCTTTGGAGCATCCAATCTATCCATTACATCACTATGTTCTGTTTCAAATAATTTAGTCAAAAACTTTAGATAGCTCCTCATTCCCCAAATCATATCTAAAGAAGAACATAAACGATATCTTGGGTGTCTCATATCTTGAAACCAGAGGAAAAATGAAGCAGCTGGAAGAGGCCCAACCTGGACATAAAGGTGCCTTTTCCCTTTCAGGAAATAGCCTGTGTTCTAGGCAAGCTCACTGCAAAGAAAGTTGTGCCTTTGTTTATTCTACACATGTGACGGAGTGCAGGCTATATTTCCAGCACTGCGTAGACACTGAGAAAACATTAGTGAAGGGCTGGGCCCTGCCTCTGTGGAGTTTACAGTTGGAGAAGGTCAGAGAGAAAAGGAAGAAAGAGGAGAAGGAGAGAGGGGGGAAAGGAAGAAAGAATGAAAAATGTGATGAGTGTTCTGAAGGAAAAAAAAAGGGTATACAAAATAGTGATTGCAATGACAGCTCTCCCCAAGACTCTCTGAAGAGTCAGGAATTAAGTGGATGCAAAGTAGAGAGAATGGTAGAGAAAGCCTTTCTGATAAGAGAACATTTGAGTAGGTATCTGCAAGTCAGAAAGAACCTGGGAAACACCTTCTTGTTAGAGGGAGTCCAGTATGCCAAGCCCTAAGGTACAAAGGAGCTTGGAATGTTCCGGGAAGATGAAGAGGAGTGGTGGAGCTGGAGAATGTGTGTGACAAGTCATGGGACAGTCCTGGAGCGGTGGACAGGAACCAGATTACAGAGGAATGCTGGCCACAGGGAAGATTCAACCACAGATTAAATTACAAGACCTGATGTACATTTTTGGAATCACCATGACTCCTGTGGGATAAGTAGATTAGAGGAAAAGTAATCAGAACATTCAGATGTGAGGTTACTTCAGTAAACCAGGAGGCAGTAGGGCGACCTAAGCTAGGCAGTGTCAGCAGAGATGTAGAGAAATTGATTAACAGGAAGTGACCCTAAAAATAGAAACAGCAGCAGGTGCTTGGGGCTGAATGTGAAAGGCAATGAAGAGGGAGGGCTGAGGGTGGTTTTGTGACAAGGTTGAGTAATGGATGAGATGAGGAAGACAGGTGGAAGAATAGATTTGGTGGTGGGAATTAACAGTTCCATTTTAAACATGTTAAATATAATGTTTGTTCGTCATCCAAGAGGCGATGTTGAGTAGGCACATAGACAGATGCGTCTGGGGTTCAGGAGAGGGGTCAGAGCTGGAGAGATATTTCTGGAGGCATTGGGGCTGTTGCCAGGGCAGCCAATCAGCAGAGCTAAAATATCCAGATTTTCTTTTTCTATCCTTCTGGCCTCCAGGCTCTGGTGCAAAACGGGTGCTGGCATAGGCATGAATTGGGAGAGAAACAGAACAGTAACACGCTTTCATTTACCAGGATGGCTTGACTGTAAATGTATTTTCCTTTACATTTTCATATCTACTGAGGGTGGTTTGCATATTTCTTCAACGAATCACTTTTTGTTTGTTTGTTTTGTGCGGGAGGGGGGTTGTTTGTTTCTTGAGAGAGGGAGTCTGACAATGTTGCCCAGGCTCCAGTGCAGTGGGATCAGCAGAGCTCACAGCAACCTCAAACTTCTGGGCTCAAGGGATCCTCCTGCCTCAGCCTCCCAGACAGCTGAGACTACAAGTGTCTACCACAATGCCTAGCTAATTTTTTTCTGCTTTTAGTAGAGACAAGGGTCTCACTCTTAGGCTGGTCTTGAACTCTTGAGAACTAAGCAATTCACCCACCTCGGCCTCTTAGAGTGCTAGGATCACAGGCATGAGCCACCATGCCTGGCCAACAAATCACTTTTAAAATAATTAACTGTGGTCCGAATGGCACAAAAGGATCTGATATCTGCCAGGGCTGGGAATGTTCCCATTGTTCCCTATCACCCTGCTGTATCCTGGTGACTCTCAGTAGCCTCACTGGAGACTGGGAGGAGGCCTGTAAAGAGAGTGGGAGGAACAGAATGTGTTCACAGGTGGGCAGTGAGAGATCCGAGAGACCCTGCACCTTTCACGTCATGGTCAGTCTGAGCAGGAAAAATGCTTGATACCTCCCAGTTCTATCTCTTCTCCCCAACCTCCATTCACAGACAGGGAAGAGATGACCTGAAGAGATTAGGTGATATGATCAAAATAAAACAATGCAACTCTCAGGTCACCATTCCATATATGCAAAAAAGTATTACTTTTAAAAAAATTTTCCATAATCAGGCTCAGCACCTGTAGCACAGTGATTACGGCACCAGCCATTTACACTGAGGGTGGTGGGTTCGAACCCGGCCCTGGTCAGCTAAACAATAACAACTGCAACAAAAATAGCCAGGTGTTGTGGCGGGCGCCTGTGGTCCCAGCTACTTGGGAGGCTGAGGCAAGAGAATCGCATAAGCCCAAGAGTTGGAGGTTGCCGTGACGCCACGGCACTCTATCTGGGGTGACATAGTGAGACTGTCTCAAAAAAATAAATAAATAAAAATTTTTCAATAATCTGACACAATTTCTATTTATTTAATCTATGGACTTAATCCTGGCCAATTCAGGATCTCCTCCACCAACTCAGGGTCCTCCCAGCTCCCCATCCCCAGTGGTGTGTAAGGTGCATTGGTGACATCAGTCCATGCAGGCGTCAACTAAAATGACCATCAGCCTGTGCCTCCCAGGCTATAGATCCACACAGGTGTCCCA